TTACCTCGGCTCACCGCAACCTTACCTCCTGGGTTCAAGCAGTTCTCCTTCCTCGGCCTCCCAAGTAGCTGAGATTATAGGCATGCACCATTATGCCCAGCTAGTTTTGTATTTTTGGTGGAGATAGAGTTTCTCCCTGTTGGTCAGGCTGGTATCGAACTCACTACCTGAGGTGATCTGCCAGCCTTGACCTCCCAAAGTGCTGGGATTACAGGCGTGAATCACTGCTCCCAGCCTCATACCAACGAATTTGAACATTGTTTTATGTGCAATGGGAAGAGGTAGGTTTGTGAGAAGTAAAAAATTATTCAGCCTATCTCTCCTTCACCTTTTCTGTGTCAGGCTCTATGGTAATTGCACAGATTAATCTGCCACAGTCCTTACCCTCAAACAGCTTTCAGTCTAGGTGGGAGGTAGACATGCACACTGACAATTACAACCCACTGTGGTACCATCATAAAGCTGGGTTTCTAGACCTCGGCATTATTAACATTTTGCACCAGATTATTTTTTTTGTGTGTGTTAGGCTTTCCTGGCATTGTAGGATATTTAGCAGCATCCCTGCTCTCTCCCCACTAGATGCCAGTAGCATTCCGCCCAATCAAGATAGTAAAAAATAACTCTAGACTTTACTAAATGTCCCATGGGAGCAAAATCACCCCTAGTTGAGAACTTCTATTATAAGGTAAGTTCAATGGTATTTTCTCACTAGAGTGCCTTGGGATGAGCCAGCCAAGGTGTCCTGGAATACTGAGATGCCAGTACATTTTTCCTAGTCATGTCTTGCCTATGCTGGGGTCTGTTGGGTCCTCTGCAAGGTGCATTAACCCCTTTCGTTCTTTTGCCTCCAGGCTATGGTCAGTGCAATCAGAAAATTCCTAGAGGGCATCCCAGACCTGCAGCTAGTCTATACCCACCATCCACTCCTGCTCAGGTTCTTTCTGTTGTATCCAGAGCTCATGAGTAGGTTTGGGCACCGTGTCCTGGAACTTTGGTTCTCCTGGGAAGAGAGCAGCTATGAGGAATTCAATGATGTCACCTCTGCTGGGCAGCCCACCCTTCCTACCAGCTTAGCAGTCCTGTTCCAGTTGCTCAGAAGCATCCCCAGCATCCTGCTTATCTTGCTGGTAGGTGACCACTCCTTCATTTCTACATTCAGAAATGGTGGACCTTCAGACGCTGTGGCTCATGCCTCTAATCCCAGTACTTTGGGAGGCCGAAGTGGGTGGATCACCAGGTCAAGAGATTGAAACCATCCTGGCCAACGTGGTGAAACCCTGTCTCTACTAAAATGCAAAAATTAGCCGGGCATAGTGGCACGCGCCTGTAGTCGCAGCTACTCGGGAGGCTGAGGCAGGAGAATTGCTTGAACCCAGGAGGCGGAGTTTGCAGTGAGCGGAGGTCGCACCACTGCCCTCGAGCCTTGCCCCTGGTAACCAAACGAGACTCTTGTCTCAAAAAAAAAAAAAAATGGTGGGCCTTTTCTCTCTGGGTGCTGATTTACTGAGGTCAGGGCACCCACAGCTGCTTTAGCCCACCTCTGGATTTATTACTGTCTCCATGTGAGTGGGGGGGTCTCTTCTACTTGCAGGTGCCTGACTTCTTTAAATCCACACTGTTCTCTAAGTCTAATGGAAGTCTATGGCACTGAGAGATGTGTGCCTCTCTTCCTCGGGGATGACACTATAAAATGCAGATCTTAGTCACCATCCCTTCTCACCTCCCTGTCATCTCTCAGGCAGACTCTGCTAACACAGGTTTAATGTCAAAGGAAGCTCCTGGGACATGTAGATGGAACTATCTGATGGCAGAGGGTCTCCTCCTCTTTTTTTGCCATGACTCACATGATAATATTACATGTGTAACATACTTGCTCAGGCATACCTAGAATTGTCAGATGTCCTAATGCTTTTTTTTTTTTTTTTCCCCTGGAGACAGAGTTTCATTCTGTCACCCAGGCTGTAGTGCAGTGGTGTGATCTCTGCTCACTGCAACCTGCGTCTCTCCCCTTCATGCAATTCTTCTGCCTCGGCCTCCTGAGTAGCTGGAACTACAGGTGCACGCCACCACGCCCAGCTAATTTTTTATTTTTATATTTTAGTAGAAATGGAGATTCACTTCATTGTCCAGGCTGTCAATACTTTTTAATGAAGTAAGACATTACTGAAATTCCCATCAGTAATTAAATGGGTTAATTAGATTAGATAAGGTAAACTGCCTCGTGTCTGCAATTTCCAACACACTGGCTTTAACTCCACTTTTTCCCTTCCACTCAACAAAGCACATTGAACAACAAATTAGAGTAGCAGGGGACAGAGCTAAGATACTAGATTTTCTTCACCAGATGAAATATTTGGGGTCAGTTTCTCACACATAGTAGGTACTTATTGTAAGGTTAGCTGAGAGAAAGGAGAAAAGACCCCAAGTCAGGCAAGCATGTTTTATTAACCTGCTGGGCTGCCCCGTAACAGTCAGAGGAGGCAGCCCTGAGCTTACAAAATGAGGGGTTTACAAGGGGTGAGAGGGGCATAAAGGAATTTCAGGACTGAGATAATCTATCAGCTGTAACAGGCAGATACATAGTTTGTTAACTTGTGACAGACTTACAATACATCATCCTGTGACTTTTTTGGCAGCAGTTTTTAAAAATGAACCCAGGATTTTACAGGTATGTGTCAAACAGGAATTTACAAGTATGGATAGCAAACACTGGTTTTCCCTGTCCTCCCCCAAGCTGCCCGGATGGCTGTAATCAGGCTTTGCTTAATTGTAGCACATCTGGCAGCCTTGATGTGGCACTTAGATAGGAGTTCAGAAATGCAGCTGCAGAGCAATCAAGAGTAGGAGGAAGGGGTCAACTTGGATGATTTTCTGAGGCAGCTTGTCCCTAACACTTATAAATATTTATGACCCGTTGAATTATAGGTATGGATAGATCTAAGTCTCTATTTCATAACAAAAATAATAATGAATTCAGCGGGGTGTGATGGCTCACGTCTGTAATCCCAGCACTTAGGGAGGCTGAAGCAAGTGGATCATCTGAGGTCAGGAGCTCGAGACCAGCCTGGCAAACATGATGAAACCCTGTCTCTACTCAAAATACAAAAATTAGCCGGGTGTAGTGGTGCATGCCTGTAATCCCAGGTACTAGGGAGGCTAGGGCAGGAGAATCGCTTGAACCCAGGAGGTGGAGGTTGTAGTGAGCTGAGATCACACCACTACACTCCAACCTGGGCAACAGAGTGAGACTCCATCTGAAAAAAACAAACAAAAAACAACAAATTTAGGTCCTCTGATATACTTAGGGATAGTAGTGACAATATAGTCATGCATTGCTTAATGATGGGAATATGTTTTGAGAAACACAGTGTTAATTGATTTTTGTGGTTGTGTCAACATCCTGGAGTACACTTACACACATCTAGATGGTCTAGCCTACGACACACCTAGGCTATATGGGATGGCCTGATACTCCTAGGCTATAAATCTAAGTATTAAAAGAAGCAAACCAAACAAGTGAATCTCAGGAGACCAAATCCTTAGAGTCTATGTCACTGGGAAGCTACAGTAGATGTCCCATTCTTTATCCTGGTGACTCAATCCTTGTCCTTGAATATGCACCATTCTCATCACCTCTCCTTTCTGGAGGTGGTGGGGTTAGGGCAGAGAGGAGTCTTGTGCTAGAGCTTAACAGGAAGGAGTGGCCTTTAAGATGGGCTGCTGCATAGAGGACTAGGAAGATAGAGGCTACTCTGAACTTCAGTTTCCTCCCACAGAAAATGGACATAACGTGAGAGTAGATGAGATAGTATATAGGAACACTCTTGGTTTGCTTCACATAGTGGGCTGTCATTCACTAATCATTAACTCTGCCTCTGAATCAGAAAAAGTTCATCTCAGAGAAGCTAGTTGAATTGCCCAAGGTCATATAGTTAATAAGGGTCATGGACTAAGAGCCCAGCGTTAGTAAGTTTTTCACTAAATTAGATCCTGGAGACATCAATGGTAAAAAAGAACAGCGAGGAACAACTTTGTTGTCTGTTTAGTTATATAATTCTTACCATTTCTCCCCAGCTTCTAGCCACAGGAGGGAAACAGAGTCTAAAAATATGTGTTGGGCCAGGCACGGTGGCTCATGCCTGTAATCCCAGCACTTTGGGAGGTCGAGGCAGGTCGATATTGAGGTCAGGAGATGGAGACCATCCTGGATAACATGGTGAAACCCCATCTCTACTAAAAATACAAAAAATTAGCCAGGCGTGGTGGCGAGTGCCTATAGTCCCAGCTACTCGGGAGACTGAGGCATCGAAACACTTGAACCCGGGAAGCGGAGGTTGCAATGAGCTGACATTGCACCACTGCACTCCAGCCTTGGCAACAGAGCAAGACTCCATCTCAAAAAAAAAAAAAAAAATTTTTTTTTAAATGTGTTGGTACCAATTTCTGGTTTTGATAGGGGTAATTAACAGCTGAAAACAAAGCAATAAATTGCCACTCTTATCAATGGGTGGTCTTTCATATAGGTTGTTTAGTTGTGAAGGAACAATGACATCACAGAAGTTCTATTTCCTCCTTGGCCAAATCACTCTGGTCTGTCTAATCCCAGAGAGTTCTGGACAGCTCTGGAGAGCAGAGACTACAGATTAGGTCATGCCCAGAGCCTTCCTACTGACCCATAATGGTGGGGTCCACATATTCCTCTTCCTCCAGCATTCACCATAGCTACCCAAAGCTGAGTAGCCCCTTTCCTTTTATTCCCTTAACATTCATTAACTCAGATTTCTGAGGGACTAGTGGCAGTGGGGCAGTGATGTGTTGATGAAGGCGCAAGACCAGGAAACTGGTTTGAGCTTGGGCTCTGTGACCCTGGGCAAATCATGCCCCTCCCTTCCCACTGGGCTTCAGCTCATACTCTGTAAAGGTATTGGAAAAAATTATCTAGATCCTCTGTAGCCCTCTCATTCTGTGACCCTATCCAGAGATGTTTTCTAAGTCCTTACAAGGTGAGGAAGATGAAGTAGACCTCATCCCTTCCCTTCATTAACTCAGTGCAATAGAATTTACAACTTTATTACTTTCTTGATACGTAAACTGATTAACCCGCCCCAGTTTTCTCATTTGACACCTACCTGGAAGAGTTATTATAGAGCTATAAATAATGTATAAACAAATATACAGCTATTGTATAAACAACATAGTACCTGACATTATTAGGCCCTAACTGAGTGGTTGTTACTGATATTATAGTCATTTTTCCAGCAACTGTGGAGGTTTCTAAGAGCCAAACTGAGACATCCCTGTGACCCCATCCCTCTCCTTCTGCCCAGTGATCAGCACACCTGGGTTTGTCTGGCCAGGTGCATTGTAGCCATATCTCTCTGTCAGGAGCTCTCCTCCCTGGAGAGGAAGTCTGTTGACCTTGGATTCATAGCACTCACTCCAAACTGGCCCAGCACATTAGCCTGTCCAAAGGAATTGGCTTCTTTGAGCTGGTAGGTGCCAGGAGCTATCAGTAGGGTAGCCTCTGGTGCAGCTTCTGACTGCCTTTGTCTTTAACAGATACTCATTAAAATAACTCTAGGCCGGGTGCGGTGGCTCATGCCTGTAATCCCAGCACTTTGGGAGGCCGAGGCGGGTGGATCACGAGGTCAAGAGATCAAGACCATCCTGGTCAACACGGTGAAACCCCGTCTCTACTAAAAATACAAAACATTAGCTGGGCATGGTGGCACGTGCCTGTAATCCCAGCTACTCAGGAGGCTGAGGCAGGAGAATTGCCTGAACCCAGGAGGCGGAGGTTGCGGTGAGCCGAGATCGCGCCATTGCACTCCAGCCTGCGGAACAAGAGCGAAACTCCGTCTCAAAAAATATATAAATAAATAAAATAAAATAAAATAACTCTGAATGCAAAATAAAAAGAAATGTCCTTCCCCAGTGGGGATATGTGAAAAAAGAAAAAAAAATTTTAAAAAGAAGATCAAGGAAAAAAAACCTATGTCCTTTCACATCCTCTGAGCCTATGGCCTTTATAGCTTGGGGCAGAGATAGCCAGATGCCTTGGTAGAGAAGGGGCCTGACCTGGTCCTCACTTCCCTTTCTGTGCACTGAATCTGCCCTAATTTATACTCTTCCTGCCCAATGACATAATCACTCTCTCCTCTTCTCCTTTAAGGCATACCTTAGGTTCCCCGTCCTGAAAACAACCTTTTGACTCTAGTTCTTCCATTTGCAAGAGGGAGGCATCCTGGAAAATAGAGCTTTGGACTTGGAGTTGGGAGACGTGCATTCAAATTCTGTCTGTGCCACTGGCTTATATGACCTTTAGCAAGTCATGTAATCTCACTGAGCCTCTGTTTTCTCCTGTTTGGGATGAATTTAATAAGGGTGGCTCTATTCTAAGAGGTGGTTGTGAGGTGTCAGTGTACCTAGAGAGCCTTTGATACCTAACAGGTGCTTAGTAAGAGAGCGATTACCCAGTTTTTGTGACACTATAATTCTGGGCCCTTTTCCTGCTCCTATATTCCTCATTGTCACTTTCCCCAACTGCCATACCCTCTGATCTCTGGCTTTCTTCTTTCCTGCTCAGGACCTAATCTATTCCAGCCCAGTGGACATAGCACGCAAGGTACTGATTAGCCTGAGGACCTTCCTGAGGAAGAATGAGGATATCCAAGTGGGCGGTCTTATCCGAGGCCACTTCCTGCTGATCCTACAGCGTCTGCTAGTGGAGCATGGGGCCTCCCCATCAGGAGGTCAGTCTGCAGGTGCTGTGGGCACACTTTGACCTGAAAGCCAGTCAAGAATGGGCATCTCTATCTTTGTTAGGTCTGTTCCAGGAGAAAGAACCAGGGTCTTAGCTGAAAAAGAAAAGTCAGGCCATTGTGGCATCAAGCCAAACCTTACCTCCTTTCTCTCACTGCAGAGTGGGTGTACCACAAGCTTGGTTTGATGTGCAAATGTTTAACATGAATAGGTATGTTTGATGTGTGCGTGCATGTCCCCACCCTGTGCAGCATGTGCTCAGAGTTGTTTGTCATAAGAACGGCAGCCCCGCTGTGGGAAGAAGAAAGTGGGAAGTCTGGAGGAAGCTGGAGGTAGCAGCAGTCTGGAGGGTCTGGGGAGGGAGGTGGATCTGTGATGTGTTGGAAGCTCCCAGTGAGATCCGGGAGAATAGTTTCCAAATCTGGAATGGTACTCACTGGAGTCAAGGAAGCCTGATGTTTGGTACAGTATGAAGACACTGAAATTGGGATTGATTGATTTATTAATTTATTTAATATTTTATGTATTTTATTTTATTTTATTATTATTTTATCTGTCACCCAGGCTGGAGTGCAGTGGCAAGATCTCAGCTCACTGCAATCTCTGCCTCCCAGGTTCAAGCAATTCTTGTGCCTCAGCCTCTTGAGTAGCTGGGACTTGCAGGCATGTGTCACCACACCTGGCTAATATTTCTGTATTTTCAGGAGAGACAGGGTTTTACCATGTTGCCCAGGGTGGACTCGAACTCCTGAGCTCAAGAGGTCTGCCTGCTTCAGGCTCCCAAAGTGCTTGGGTTACAGGGGTGAGCCACTGTGCCCAGCCCTGTTTTTTTCTATTTTTAGAGAAGCTGAATTTTAAAATTAAATTTCTAAGCAAAGCGAGAGGCAATTTGTGGCTACCTGACAGAGGACTGAGGGTTTGGAAGTAGGTGTCAAGAGTAGATGAGTTATTCCTTTTCCGGGAAGGACAAGCCATGCTTAACTGATAATACTGGTTAAGAACCATAAGATTTAGTGGAAATAAAGTAGGAAATCCATGGGCATTGGATTCAGATTTGGGTCTTAATCTGTTTGGACCATAGACTGGGTAACTTACAAACAACAGAAATTTATTTCTCACAGTTCTTGGGCCTAGGAAATCCAAAATCAAGTTGCTGGAAGATTCAGTGTCTGCTGAAAGCCCACTTTGTGGTTCATAAATGGCTGTCTTATTTTTCCTTCTTTCTTTCTTTCTGCTTTCTTTCTTTCTTTTTCTTTTCTTTTCTTTCTTTCTTCCTCCTCCTCCTCCTTCTCATCCTCTTTCCACTTTTCCTTATCCCTTCCCTCCTCCTCCTTTCTTCCTTCTCCTCCTCTTTTCTTCCTCCTTCTCCTCCCCTGGCCCCCACAGCCTTGACCTCCTAGACTCAAGCAATCCCCCAACCTCAGACTCCTGAGTAGCTGGAGTTACAGGCATGTGCCAGCATGATGGCTTGTCTTCTTACTATGTAAGAAGAAGGGGCGAGGGAGGGAGTGCCTCACAGTTTCTTTCAAAAGGCCACTCATCTCATTTATGAGGATTCTACCCTCCTTAGTCATCTACCAGAAATCTTACTTCCTAATATTATCACAATGGGGGTTAAGATTTCAACATGAATTTTGGAGGAACACAAACATTCAGACCATAGCGCCCTGCCACTTTCTGGCTGTGGGATCTTGGAGAAGTCACTCAGCCTCTCTGAACCTCAATTTTGTAAGTGCAAAATGGGAATAACAATCCATGCTTCACATTTTTTTTCATGGGATTAAATGAAATAATGAATTCTTGGTACCAACCTATGTCTAGCACCTAGTAGTTACGCCTGTCCTGAATGAAGAAAGATATAGGGGTAAATCCCAACAAAACATCTGACTTCTTAGGAAACAGAAAACTTTGAACCTGTTATTATGGGCCATTAAAGCAGGGCAGGGTGTCCGACCTTTAGGTGATCTGAGCATCAGACTTCCTGCCCACCCCTCCTTGTTCTTCACAGCCTTGGGGAACCTACCATTGCTGCTGAGCCTCCTCTCCGTGATGCAGCTCAGGAATGTGTCAGAGGAAGAACTGGACAGCATGGCCATGAAGCTCCTTCACCAAGGTGCCCTGCCTGCTTGAGACAGCACCCATGGGCCCAGGGCTGGGTGTGCAGTGGGTGCTCACGCAGTAGGCTGGTGTTCTTTCTTCTACCCTTTCATCCCTATGGAAGAAGCTAGTATGTCATTCTATTCCTAGGGGTTTCTTGCTAAAGGACCTGTCAGGACCTTCTCTGCTTGTTCTCTGGGAATGTTTAGGAGACACCCCACCCCTGCAAAAAATCATCATATGAGGCCAGGCATGGTGGCTCATTTCTGTAATCCCCACACTTTCGGAGTTTGAGGCAGGAGGATTGTTTGACGCCAGGAGTTCAAGATCAGCCTGGGCAACATAGCAAGACCCTGCCTCTACAAACGGCCAGGCATGGTGGCTCATGCCTGTAATCCTAGCACTTTGGGAGTCTGAGGCAATGCATCGTTTGAGCTCAGGAATTCAAGACCAGCCTAGGCAACATGGTGAAACCTTGTCTTTACAAAAAAATACAAAAACATTAGCTGTGTATGGTGATGCACAGACTTATAGTCCCAGCTACTTGGAGGCGCCTAGGTGGGAGGATTGCTTGAACTCAAGACGTCGAGGGCGCAGTGAGCTATGATCTCACCACTGCTTCTAGCCTGGGTAATGGAGTGAGACCTCATCTCTAAAACAAACAAATCAATGTGTAACAGGCATAAGCTCTAGAGTCAGGAAGTCCTGGGTTTGAATCTCAGCTTAGTCACTAGCAATCATCTAGTCTCTGTGAGCCTTAGGTTCCTCATAGGTAAAGTAGCAGTACTTCCCTGACTTAAGATTGAGATAAGGAATACTTATCTAGTTAGATAAAGAATGTCACACAGTGCTTGATACACAGTAGGCCTTCAACAGTTGCTATCCATGCAGATTTTTTTTTTTCCTGGTACAAGGTCAGCTCTCCACCTCATCCTACAATTGACTCAGATCTGATGATCCAGTTCACGGTTCTCCAGGCTTCTTTCTGACCCACACCTCAGACCTCCTTGGTTTTTCAACTTGTGATGTTATCATCACTTCATAGGCAGTACCTACAGGAAGATTTGCTGAGGAAAGGTTGAAATTAATAGGAAAAATGATGTGTCTTCAATGTCTGTAGACCCCCAGGTCCTCTAGCCACAGGTGAAAATGGGGTACCTTCCCTGCCTGAAGCCCAGTCCTCCTCATGAGAAGATCAGTGTCAGATTCAAAAAAAGGCCACTGGGGATAGGTTGCAGATGGCCTCAGCCTGGTGCCAGTCATCACTAGCCTGTCTGTGAGATTAAGGATGACACTAAGCTAGGAGGGAGATCTGTGTGTGACAAAGTCAGCTTTCAAAAGAGACTCTGACAGGGAGTAACAGGCTGAAACCCACCCATGAAATGTAATAGGGCATTTACATATAATCCTTGAGCACTTCTATATGATAGCACAGAGAGTAGAGGATTGTGGTTCGGGGTGGAGACCTGCTGGTTTGGGTGACCGCAGGCCAATTAGAAGTCAGGGTGTGATATGGCTGCCAAAAAGTGAATGGAGATGTAGGTAGATTTCCTATTAGGATGGGGGTAGGGAGATGGGAAGTGGGAGTTCCCAGTAGTAAAGGGATATGTTCTATAGCTATTTACAGTGTAATGTAGTACTCATGAAGCCTGGGGGAATGCAGAAGCAGCATCTAATCTTGCCTTGAGAGGTTAAGGAAGGCTTCAAAGGGGAGACTAACTTTTCACTAAATCTTTTTTTTTTGAGACAGGATTTCACTGTCACCTAGGCTGAAGTGTAGTAGCATGATCACTGCTCACTGAGGCCTCAACCCCTTGGGCTCGAGTGATCCTTCCACCTCAGCCTCCCAAGTAGCTGGAACTACCAGTGTGTGCCACCATGCCCAGCTAATTTTTCGTATTTTTTGTGGAGAGATGGGGTCTCACCACGTTGCCCAGGTTGGTCTCAAACTCCTGGTCTCAAGCAATCTGCCTGCCTGAGCCTCCCAAAGTGTTGGGATTACAGGTATAAGTCACTGTGCAGTCCTGAGCTGAATCTTGATTGCTGACTAGGACTAGAGGCTTAGCCAAATGAAGTGATGTGAGAGAGACGATGTGGCAAGTGCAGGGAACTGCACTTCATTCGACTGTTAAATTTCCCTTGGGAAGGTAGTGAAGATGAACATCTCAACTGCTATAGTCTTTCTGGCTAATGTGCAGCTGTAGGCTGCTTGCCTGATGTTTGTCTAGATGGAGGGTATGAATGTGCCTTAAGGTTTGTCACTGTTTCTTTCCATTGGTTGTAACGTCAGGGACACTTAGTTTGTTCTTGCTCCCCAAGACTGACATCTGAAATAGCCAGTTGCAGGTCACCACCTGTGACAAGTGTGAGTGCTGTGCAGTAGGCCACCTGGGGACTCATCTCTTGCAGTGAGCAAGCTGTGTGGGAAGTGCAGCCCCATTGACGTGGATATCCTGCAGCCCTCCTTCAACTTCCTGTACTGGAGCCTTCATCAGACCACACCCAGCAGTCAAAAAAGAGGTGCAGGGGCCCACGCTGGGACAGTGAAGAGTTCTGGGCAGTGTCTGTGACCCTCTCTACCTCAACTTTTCCATCTCAAAAAAATAGGGTTGTATGTATGGCTGGTAGTCAAAAGGTCCTTTCTGGTTCTAATAACCTGAGCTTCTGTTATGAAGCTGGGACCCTTAGAACCTCAGGATGATCCTTTGTTTGTGAAGCCCCCATCAGGTGCTAAGCACCGTTGTGGTGCTTAGCTGGAGCTCCTCTGTAACTCCTGTGGGCCCTGCCCTGCCCACCTCCTGCAGCTGCTGCAGTGCTCCTGAGCGGCACAGGCCTGATGCAGCTTCTGGAGAAGATGCTGGCACTCACCTTGACAGAAGCAGACTCTCCCAGGACAACGCTCCTCTGCTCTGCCTGGCTGCTCACCAGCTCTTTATCTGCCCAGCAGCACAAGGGCAGTTTGCAGGTTAGTTTCTAACTCCTGTGGCTTTGAGGCACGGGGTGGCACTCAAAGGAGTGTTGAAGATCTTGAGTTCTGGTCCAGTTCTGGGGCTTATTAGCTGTGTGACCTTAGCAAGGTATTTACCTTTTCTGAGCTCAGTTTCCTTATGTACAAAACGGGGAAAACATCCCAGGGTTGTTATCAGGTTGGTTTATATTAACCCACTTAACACACAAGGTTTACTCACACTCCAGGCTCTATTCTTGGCACAGAGGAATAAAAAATGAATATAGCATGTGTCCTACCCTTAGGAAGCTTGTAGTCTTGAAAGATAAGATTGTACTCAGCAAAGATAGTAGGGAAAAGCATTCCAGGTAGAGAGAACAATATGAGCAAAGGGATGAAGCTGCACAAATTCAGGACATAGTCTATATATTTGGGGAGTGGTGAGGTGCTTTGTGTGGTGAGAATGCGGGAAATGAATGGCGCAGGTCAGACCAGACAGGGAGGCAGAAGCCAACCTGTGACCTCGAAGTGCAGCATGGCAAGCTTTGTAATGCTGCACATGGTTAGCTGTCATTACTGTTCCAGAAGGTGATGCAGGGACAGAGAAGAGCAGTGGACATATCCACAGAGCACCTCCTTTCTCCTCAGCCCCTCCCTCTTGTAGGGCCTTGTCATCACAGTGCTCTGTGTGAGCTCCTCTGTGGGCTGCTTCTCATGGAAAACATCTGCTAGCCTCTGTGGTATCCTCACACTGTGCCTAGTACTGTGCCAATCTAGTGATAGGCACAGAGAAGTGACATTAGTTTTAAACTTTGACCCCCAGAGGGGCAACAAGCTGTGGCAAATCTATGCTCTGGCAGATCCTGCAGATTACTGCCTGTGGTTGGGTTGGTTTAGGACAGAAACCTTTCCTAATTTTCCATGTGAGGCTGCTCGGCCCATCCAGCTCTCTGTATCACCTGCCCAGGAGAAAACTGGCATTTTGTCCTTGTCTCTGGCCTGGCACTCAGCTCACACCTAGGCAATTACCTATTCCTAGCTACTTCCAGCGCCCTGACTCAGGCCTGATCATTCATCCTCCCTACTAATGTGACCCAGTTATAATCTCCTGGCCACCCGCCTCTTCCCTCTGCATGTCCTATCATTGCAGCCACATTCTGTCCTCACATCCCTTCTGCCCAAGCTCCTTCAACAGCCTTTTTGTCCTCCTCTAGGCCTGGCCCTCTGCAGCCTTATTTTCTGCCATTCCCACCCACCTTCCCTGTCCTCTGGCTAGGCATTTGCACTTCTCCCAGTCAGCTGTGCTCCTTCACTTTGCCATACCTTTTTTTGTCTGTTTTGTTTATTATTAATAGACTTCACTTTTAGGACAGTTTTATAGAAAAATGGTGCAGGTCGTACAGAGAGTTCCCGACACACACACATAGTTTCATGTTATTAACATCTTACCTTAGTATGATATCTCCATGCTTTTTTACAAGTTGGTTCTTCTGCCTAGAACTTACTGCTTTCAATAGGAGTTTCTAAGGAACTACTTTGTGCCAGACTGATAGAACCAAGCAGAAGAAGAGTAGTTCCTGCTCTCAGGCAGCCTATGTTCTGGCTGAGGAGAGCAGGTTCAATAGCTTTGAAACTGACACCCCAACTGGCCCCTCAATTTGGGCATTGCTTGACATTAAAGTCATGTTTACTGATGCTGATCCTCAGCTGTCCCTCACAATAGCTCTGGAGGGAGTGAAAGCGAGTGGGTGTTGTCTTAATTTCATAGATGAAGAAAGTAAGCCATGCTGAGAGAGGTGCAGTGACTTGCCCAAGGGCATACAGCTGACAGGTGACAAAGCCAGGATTTTTATTTTTTTATCGTTTTTTAATTTTTTTATTATTGATTGATTGATTGATTGATTGAGACGGAGTTTCGCTCTTGTTACCCAGACTGGAGTGCAATGGCGCCATCTCGGCTCACCACAACCTCCGCCTCCTGGATTCAGGCAATTCTCCTGCCTCAGCCTCGTGAGTAGCTGGGATTACAGGCACGTGCCACCATGCCCAGCTAATTTTTTGTAGTTTTAGTAGAGACAGGGTTTCACCGTGTTGCCCAGGATGGTCTTGATCTCTTGACCTCGTGATCCACCCGCCTCGGCCTCCCAAAGTGCTGGGATTATAGGCGTGAGCCACCGCGCCCGGCTCGTTTTTTTAAAGAGATGGAGTCTGTTGCCCAGGCTGGAGTGCAGTGGCGCTATCCCAGCTCACTGCAGCCTTGGCCTCCCGGCTCAAGTGATTCTTTCACCTCAGCCTCCTGAGTAGCAGGGACTACAGGTGCATGCTACCATGCCCAGCTAATGTTTTTTGTATTTTCTTGTAGAGATGGGGCTTCATTATGTTGTCCAGCCTGGTCTTGAACTCCTGGGCTCAAGCAATCCTCCCACCTCAGCCACCCAAAGTGCTGGGATTACAGGTGTAAGCTGCTGTACCTGATCTGAGAGCCAGGATTTTGATTTGACCTGTCTGACTCCAGATCTTCTGAGTTAGGGGTATAGTGGGCAGAGCCAGAGGCTGAACCACAGATGAGGCCAGGGAAGGCTGTCTGGTGGAGGAGGCCAATGAGGATGAGGGAGATTTGGGAGAAAAACAGTTCTCCAGGTACAGACTTGATTCTCTTCCTCATGCTCCTGAAGCTAGGACCGGTGCAGCTTGGAAGACTCTGTGGCCTCCTCTGTCCCCTTTTGATGCAGTGGATATGTCTGGGGAGGTGGTAGAAGAGATATTCAGGCAGGTTATTTTCTGTTCAGACTTGGGGTTAGCCTTTTGCCCTCTGCCCTGCCAGGTTCACCAGACACTCTCTGTGGAAATGGACCAAGTATTGAAGGCTCTCAGCTTTCCAAAGAAAAATGCTGCACTGCTCTCAGGTATGGGTCCACAAGTCTCCAGCAGGAGAAGAAAAGCTTTTTGCCCAGGTTTTCAAATAGGACCAGCATACAGACCAGCCTGTGGTCACTCCATAATTGTCTCATCTTCATTGTCTTCCATCCTGTGACAGAGCTGGGCGGGAGGTGGGAAGGAGACAGGAACTGGGTGTAAGGAGTCTTCTGCTTCCAGCTGCTATCTTATGCTTCCTGCGGACAGCCCTGCGACAAAGCTTTTCCTCTGCCCTGGTGGCCCTGGTACCCTCAGGGGTCCCGCCACTGCCAGCCACTGAGGACACTGTCTTAGCTCCACTGCGAACATCACAAGTGCGGTCCCTGGTCATTGGGCTGCAGAACCTCCTGGTGCAGGTAAGGCCCTTGCTGAGTGGGCACAGGCAGTGGGGCTTGCTTCTGCCAGGACAATGGCAGGAAGGGGCAGCTGCCTGTCAAGGGCCTGATATTCCTACCAGGGATTGGAGGGTGGATTGAGTGAGACTTGAAAAAAATATTATTTTTTTTTAAATTTTTTAAATACAGACGGGGTCTTGCTATATTGCCAGGCTGGTCTCAAACTTCTGGCCTCAAGTGATCCTCATACCTCAGCCTCCAAAAGTGCTAGAATTACAGGCATAAACCACCATGCCCTGCCTGGGTAAGACTTTTAAAGCTACAGTGACAGAAACAAAACTCAAACTGGTAACTGAGAAGTCCTGGGGTCAATACTGGCTTTAGGCACAGCAGGATCCCAGAAGCTCAGACAAGGTTATCAGACTCCATCTCTTGGCTCAACATTCCTCACTGTCAGCTTTATTCTTATGAGACAGTAGGATGACCAGCAGTAGCTTCTAGCTTATATCCTCTGGGAAAAAGATTCTCTTTCCCTATAGTTCCCAGAGTTGAGTCTCATTAGGCTGGCTTGGGTAAAATGTCTCATGGCTGGGGCATAGGATGCCCTGAGTAGCCCGGTTTGGGTCAGTGCCCTCTCCTGGAGGCCAGGGTATATGATCAGCTCTCCATAGCCCAGGTGGGCTAGAGAGAGGGATGGTTCCCCACGAGAAACTGCCACCACAAGAAGGAGGGTATCCAGGGTAAGCAAAAGCATGTCCGCCTCCAAATGGGTTGTGTTTTATGGCTTAGGGGACACTTGGAGATCAGTGTTTACCTTACCCATGACATCCTGAGTCCCTGACCCACTGTCATGGCCTGTGAAGGGTACTGGGAGTCCCAAGAAAATGTCCCAGGAATGGGCCCTATGCTAAGTCAGTGGTTGCTGAATCTTGTCTTGTGTGGCACATCCATGCACAAGGCTTTTGCTTTTTTTTTTTTTCCTTTGAGACGGAGTCTTGCTCTGTCACCCAGGCTGGAGTGCAATGGCACAATCTCAGCTGACTGCAAACTCCGCCTCTCGGGTTCAAGCGATTCTCCTGCCTCAGTCTCCTGAATAGCTGGGACTACAGGCATGTGCCACCACGCCCAGCTAATTTTTGTATTTTTAGTAGAGAGAGTTTCACCACATTGTCCAGGCTGGTCTCAAACTCCTGACCTTGTGATCCATTCGCCTCAGCCTCCCAAAGTGCTGGGATTACAGGTGTGAGCCACCACACCTGGCCCCCTCTGTGTTCTTGAGGATCAAACATCTATCCTATTATGGCACTTAGCTCTTTCTACTTCAAGTTTCCATTTTCTTATCATTCTTCTCCCCACCAGGCTGTGATATACTCAAGGGCAGGGACTGAGTCTGGTTAATCTTTGTGTCTACTTCCCCTTCTGGGTTTAGAGCTAATTTACAATTCAGGAATCAGATGAGAACCAAAACATCAGCTTTATTGCTGGTAAACATCATACTAGAATATTGGCTGGGACTCTGGGTCAGAATGGCCTTTTTTTTTTCCTGCAATTTTTCAAACATACGGCAATGAGAGAATTTTGTTTGTTTTGAGACGGAGTCTTGCTCTGTCACCAGGCTGGAGTGCAATGGTGCAATCTTGGCTCACTGCAACCTCTGCCTCCTGGGTTCAAGCGATTCTTCCACCTCAGCCTCCCAAGGAGCTGGGACCACAGGCGCGTGCCACCACACCCAGCTAATTTTTGTATTTTTAGTAGAGATGGGGTTTCACCATGGCCAGGATGGTCTCAATCTCCTAACCTTGTGATCTGCCCACCTCGGCCTCCCAAAGTGCTGGGATTACAGGTGTGAGCCACTGCGCCTGGCCTGAGCCACCACACCCAGCCGAGAGAATTTTATAGTGAACACTCACACACCTACCACCTAGATTATACGAATAACATTTTATTATACTTGCTTAATCCTACCTGTCTAAAATGAGCTTTCTAAACTACCTTCTTTCTCCTTGCCAGATCAGGGGTCCACAGGTGGGAACTGTGTTTGCATTATGGACACTGAGCCAGCTGGCTAGCATTTTAAGAGTTTAAGTTGATGAGGGCATAACCTTTAATACCTTAATCCTGCCCTGATGGCATGGTAAATCTTAAGCTAGTGTCTTGCCTGTTAGATGAAACCGCTTTGGGTGAGGAGGATGAGTTAGGGAAATGCTTTCCCCCTAATGTTTCTAAAAGGGCTGATGTTCCTGTTTTAACATTCAGAACAGGAGATGTAAGGGGAATGATTTCCCAGTACCTAGCACAGAGCTTGGCACAAAATTGGCATTTGGGAATGTTTGTTGAATGGATGGAAACCACGGAAATTAATATGACATGATCCCAGCCATGTTGGCAGATTATAGGAAACACAAATAATTACATGTAATGCCAAAATCACCTTTTAGCAGTTGAGCATGCCTAATACAAAAGTCCAAAATTCAAAATGCCCAATGAGCATCTGCTTTGAGCATCATGTTAGTGCTCAAAAGTTTTAGGTTTTGGAGTATTTTGTATTTCGGATATTTGGATTACAGATAGTCAACCTGTATTTGTTTTTTTTGTTTGTTTGTTTTTGAGATGGAGTCTCCCTCTGTTGCCCAGGCTGGAGTGCAGTGGTGTGATCCCAGCTCACTGCAACCTCCGCCTCCTGAGTTCAAGTGATTCTCCTGCCTCAGCCTCCCAAGTAGGACTACAGGTACGCACCACAACGCCTGGCTAATTTTGTATTTTTAGTAGATGTGGGTTTTACCACATTGGCCAGGCTGGTCTTGAATTTGACGTCAAGTGATTCACCCCTTTGGCCTCCCAAAGTGGTGGGATTACAGGAGTGCTCAGTCTCAACCTGTATTTGAATCAAGGGAGGCTGCACAGGAGAGGCAGCATTTGAACTGGACCTTGAATGATAAAAAAGCCTTCTTCAAACCAATAGCCTAAACACTAGGGGGAGGTGCCAGTGAGTTTTTGTTTGTTTGTTTGTTTGAGACAGAGTCTTGCTGTGTCACCCAGGCTGGAGGGCAATGGTTCGATCCCAGCTCACTGCAACCTCTGCCTCCTGGGTTTAAGTGATTCTCCTGCCTCAGCTTCCTGATTAGCTGGGATTACAAGCGCACGCCACCAGGCCCAACTTTTTTTTGTATTTTTAATAGAGACGGGCTTTCACCATGTCGGCCAGATTGGTCTCAAACTCCTGACCTCAGGTGATTCACCCGCTTTGGCCTCCCAATGTGCTAGGACTACAGGTGTGAACCACCATGCCCAGCTCCCAGTGAGGTATTGTATAGCATTTTCCCCATTTGCCCCTCATGCCCAAGAGCCTAGGTGTTTCCCTGGCCTGTGATACTCAACTCTGACTCTGGCAACTGTTTATTTTTGTTTTTGAGACAGGGTCTTGCACTGTCACCCAAGCTAGAGTGCAGTGGAATGATCATGGCTCACTGCCACCTTAACCCGCTAGGCTTAAGTGATCCTGCCACCTCAGCCTCCTGAATAGCCAGGACTACAGGTATACACCACCATACCCAGCTAATTTTAAAATACTTTTGTATTGGTAGCAAGGCCAGGTACAGTGGCTCATGCCAGTAATCTCAGCACTTTGGGAGGCCGAAGTGGGTGGATCACTTGAGGTCAAGAATTCGAGACCAGCCTGGCCAACATGGTGAAACCCTGTCTCTATTACAAATACCAAAAAATTAGGCAGGTGTGATGGCGTGCGCCTGTAATCCCAGCTACTTGGGAGGCTGAGGCAGGAGAATCACTTGAACCCGAAGGTCGAGGTTGCAGAGAGCCAAGATCGTGCCACCACACTCCAGCCTGGGTGACAAAGCAAGACTCTGTCTCAAAAGTACATTAAAAATAACAAAATAAAATACGTTTGTAGAGATGATATCTCGCTATGTTGCTCAGGCTGGTCATGACCTCCTGGGCTCAAGCAATCCTCTGGCATTGGCCTCCCAAAATGCTAGGATTACAGGTGTGAGTCACTGCACTTGGCCTTGTTTTAATTGTAATTATATATAACATAAAATTTAGTATTTTAATCATTTTAAGTATATAGGTCAGTAGCATTAAGTACGTTCACGTTGTTGTTTTGCAACCTTCACTATCATCCATCTCTAGATGGATCTTTTTCATCTTCCCACACTGAAACTGTACCCATTAAACAACTCCCAAGTCCCCCTAATAGCCCCTGGCATCCACCGTTCTATTTGCTATCTCTATGGATTTGACTACTCTAGGGACCTCATATAAGTGGAATCATGTATTTGTGTCTCTGAAGGTTTTTGACTGCCTGTCCTCAACAGTCCCTGGGAAGGGGAACCCAACCTGAGCAGCTCATGACTCCCTATAGAAGCTGCTGGGACTACCCTGATTATAGGAGGGTATTGCTGAGGAGCCTGTCTTAGCCTCACAGTCACTACCCTTATAATTGCCTAGTGAACAGGACCAAGTAGTCTTTTCCTCTTTTCTCTCACTGCCATACTACCTAGAAATTTCCCGGCCTTCTGTGTTCAGCCACAATGCCCCCTCTGTCACTGGCCAGGACCTCATGGCTAGAGCTAAGCCTCCTTCATTCCCTTCTACCAGTTTGTTGTTTAAAACTAGCGGGTGTGTGTGTGTGTGTGTGTTTGGTTTTTGTTTTTTTGAGACAGACTCTCATTCTGTTGCCCAGACTGGATTGCAGTGGCATGAACTTAGCTCATTCAGCTCACTGCAACCTCTGGCTCCCAATTTCAAGCAATTCTCGTGCTTCAGCCTCTCCAGTAGCTGAGATTACAGGCACCTGCCACCATGCCTGGCCAATTTTTGTATTTTTAGTAGAGACAGGGCTTTACCATGTTGGCCAGGCTGGTCAAACTCCTGGCCTCAAGCGATCTGCCTGCCTTGGCCTCTCAAGTAGCTGAGATTACAGGCACCTGCCACCATACCTGGCCAATTTTTTGTATTTTTAGTAGAGATAGCGTTTTACCATGTTGGCCAGGCTGGTCTCAAACTCCTCGCCTCAAGTGATTCACCTGCCTTGGCCTCCCAAAGTTCTGAGATTATAGGTGTGAGCCATAGTGCCTGGTCTTAAAACTAGCTTTTTATTCATTTGTTCAATCATTCATACATTCAGCAAATATTTCTTCCACAGTAATCCATAGAGGAAATCCCTCTTCCTTGAGCTCCCAGAATGGCTGATTCAGCTCTGTATTGAGTATCATATTAATCATATTTTATTATATGATCAGTGGTTTACATTGTCTTCTTCCACAAAACTGAAAACTTCTTTTAGGCAAATGTCCCCCGTGTGGGAAGTCAGAGCCTTCACAGAGAAAGTGACATTTGAACTCAGCCTTGAAAGGTGTCTTGGCAGAGGTATAGAGGGAAGGGCATTCCAGCAGGACAACAGCATATACAAAATCACAGGCTGAAAGTGCATGCTGGGGTGTGGAGTGTAATGAGGTAGAAAGTGAGACTAAAAAGCTGGGCAGAGCCAAACTGAGCCATACCTCATACACTAGGCTAAGAATTGCTGTGGGAACTGTGGAAGGACAGCTGTCAGACTTTGTGAAAGTTCCCTCTCAGGCTGAGTGCTATGGCTCATGCTTATAATCCGAGCACTCTGGGAGGACAAGGTGGGTGAACTGCTTTGAGTCTAGGAATTCCAGACCAGCCTGGGCAACACAGTACAACCCCATCTCTATAAAAAATACAAAAAATTAGTTGGGTATGGTGGCACATGCCTGTAGGCCCATCTACTCAGGAGGCTGAGATGGGAGGATCACCTGAGCCCAGGAGGTTGAGGCCGACATGAGCTATTATCACACCACTGAGCCCCAGCCTGGGTGACAGAGGGAGACCTGCATCTCAAAAGAAAAAAAAAAAGAAAGTAAGTTCACTTTCAGCCACAGTGGGGAAGGATGGGGGCAAGGAGAGCACCTGGAGGTAAGGCGACTGGTGAACAAGAAGCTGTACATGCAAATGACAGCTAGGCCACCTTCATACTCATGAGGGTGGCTAAAATAAGAATACAGATAGTACCAAGTGGTGGCAGGAAGGTAGAGAATGTCCACACAAAACCTTGTATCTGAATGTTCATAGCAGCACTATTCACAATAATTAAAAAGTAGAAACAGCCCAATGTCCATCAACTGATGAACAGACAAATTGTATATCCATACAATGAAATACTATTTGACCATATAAAGGAAAGAAGTACTGACACATGCTACAACATGGATGAACGTTGAGCACATTAAGTTAAAGAAGTCAGACATAAAAGAGCACATATGATTCTGCTTATGAGAAATGTCTGGAAAAGGCAAATCTATAGAGACAGAAAGTGGATTAGTGGTTGCCTAGGACTGAGTGGAGGGATAGGGGAACAAAGAGTGACTGTTGAGTATGAGGTTTCTTTTTAGGGGTGATAAAAATATTCTGGAATTATATTGCTGTGCAACTCTGTAGATATAATAAAAACTACTGAATTATATCTTTTAAAGGATGAATATTATGGTTCCTGAATTATATCTCAATAAAACTATCCTTTAAAAAACTGGTGTCAAGGGAGAAAAATGACAATGAAGACTAAGCTAGGGCTCTGGGTGCTGCTCCTCCTTGATACCTCTAGGCCAAAGCAGCCTGGTGGCACCAGCATTACAAACTCAGTGCTGGTCAGCTATGCAGAATCTTCAGCAGTCGGGTAGCCCAGTGTGATGCAGTTGAAGGTACAGTATCTAGAGTCACGGGGATCTGTGTCAAAGCACCTGCCCAGCCTCTGACTCTGAAGATGTTTAGCAAGTCACTTACTAATCTTCATGTTCTCCATCTGCAAAATAAAAGGGGTGTTTTGACATTAAACAATATGAGCCCATGAGAACAGCCTCCATTCCCTCAGGAATGGAACACAGTGAAGGAAAATGTTAGTTGAAATAAGACTAGAGAGTGTCCAGGGTCCACCATGCTGGGTCACCTGGGGTGAAGGGGCAGGCCAGTGGCAGCAGAGGGCTCTGAAGAAGGGCCGTGGGCACTGGAATGATAAGGGTGGTACGGGGGTGAGGAGGAGCCAGGGGCCAATTTCCCATCTGCTTAGTTCTGAGGCCACAGGACTGGAATATATCTCTGAATGTCTCTGGAGTAATGGCACATCAAGTCCTTCTCACACTTCAAATCCGTTTTTTTATTGTGACACCAGAAAAAGAAAACTCTACTCTTCTAAAGGGCCTGTGTGATTAGACTGGGCTCATCCAATCTCCCTTTTTCCATTAACATAATCATAGGAATAACATCTGGATGCAAAAGTCATGGGCCAACTTAAATTTCTGCCTACCACATATTATAAGTGTATATTTAACTTTTTTTTTTTTTTTTTT